GGAAAAAATGGGTAAATTGGATTTCATTAAAATTAAAAACTTCTACTCTGCCAAAGACACTATCAAGAGAATGAGGAGACAAGCCACAAACTGGAAGAAAATATTTTCAAAAATACATCTGATAAAGACTGTTATTTAAATTATATAAAGAAATCTTAAAATGCAACAATAAGAAAATGAACAACCCAGTTAATAAATGGGCAAAAATTCTGAACAGGCACCTCACCAAAATAGCAAAAAGGTATATAAAGAGATGATCAATGGGATTTCCCTGGTGGTCCAGTGGTAAAGAATCCGCCTTCCAATGCAGGGGATGCAGGTTCGATCCCCGGTTGGGGAACTAGGTTCCCACCTGTGCACAGAGAAAGAGAGATACCAAAGACCTAGAGAGTTCCATCCTAATCTTTCAGTTAAGTCCTGTTCTTTATTAGACAGTGACCCTTTGAGGGGGTCATTAGCCCTAAATCTGCCAAGACCAAGGCACGGCTATGAACTCTGGGCTAAGGTTTGCCCAAATCCCAGCACAGTTCCTAGTGAGAAGCAGGATTATACTGGATGGCACATGATAAAATGAAATTCTCCACCTGCAGTGAATGAGGTGTCCCTTTTTGATGCCATCACCAGCATTTTTCTTGCAGAAGTTCCAGTGAATGATACTGGGGTGGAGGTGTGGGAACTTGTATTATTTATACATAAATCCAAGCTGGTGTGGCAATGAAAAGAATTGCCTTTCTCCTTAGTGTAAAATAAGCCTCCTCTCTTCATTGTAGCTTTAATTTTGAAGGGAAAGGAAGTTATTAATTAACAAAAGCTAATGCTTTTAATTAAACATTTGTTCTATTTTCACATGCGCACACAAATTTGCATAAAGATATAACTAAACCTGCTGAGAGTATAATAGAAGCTTTGTTTTGCTATGTAGAGAGCACAACTGATCACAAGAATTAAACCAAAATTGGTCAAGATATTTAGTACATATTCTTGAGTACAACTAATATCTGTATTACACAATACAGTAAATAACTTTATTTTTGCCCATAAAATGTAGCTTAACCCTTCTTTAAATTTCTATCACCAATAAAAATCAGACAACAAATTTAATAATAATTTTTAAAATGTCATTTTTTCCAAAATTTACTTTAAAGATTATCTTAAGTTTAATCTCCTAGCAACTCTGAAGAAAAAGCGTTTTTCTTATTAATGAACTGAGCTTTCAAGAGATTCGCATGTATAGCTCTTATTAAACACATTGGTAATAATAATAGCTTAAGCTCTATCTCAGCAGCTTACTCTTGGACAGGTACCAAGAGTATAGATGATGCTGTCAAAGATGAGTCAGATAATAAAAGGATTTCAGAGCTGTAGAAAACAGTAAATATCTGCCTGGATGAATGGTAGAGCACATATTTGCATTATGGTGGCCATTCACCAAGAGGCACAAGGGCATTCTGCCTCACTTGCTCTTATGGGCTGAGAGCCTAAGGAGCATTCAGAACGTTAAAAATATCAACAGTGCACTAAAATATTTTGTATTATATATAGATGAATAATTTGTGTCTATATATATCCATATTTACATTTTAATGCACGTATATAAGTTGATATGTATGTTTTCTTTTTCTCTCCAGTCCTAAGCAAACACCAGTCTACTTTCTGTCTCTGTAGGTTTCCCTATCCTAGATTTTCATATGAATGGGATCATATAATACATGGACTTTTGTGGCTGACTTCTTTCACTTAGCATATTTTCAAGGTTCATCCAAGTCACAGCATGTAACAGTATTTCATTCCTTTTCATGGCCCAATAATATTCCACTGCACTATATTTTGTTTATTCATTCATCCACTGATAGACAGTTGGATTGTTTTCACCTTTTGACTGTTTTGAATAATGTTGCTATATGTGCAAGTTTTTGTGTGGGCATAGGTCATCATTTCTCTTGGATATACATGTAGGGGTGGAATTGCTGGGTCGTACGGTGACTCTAGTCATTTGAGGAACTGCGAGACCATTTTTCAAATTGTCTGCATCCTTCTATATTCCCACCAGCAATATATGAAGTTTCCCATTTCTCCACATCCTAGCTTGGATATACCTTTAAGCAATATTGCTTTGCTATGAATGGTGGAATAGAAGGAAAGGAGGGCAACACCCCGAGGACCTAGTAGAGGCCACACAGCTTTGGACAGCCTACTTTCCAATTCTTTTAAAGTGAGAGAAAATAATCTCTATCTTATTTAAACCACTGTTATTCTGGGTCTCTGTTAATGGCAGCCTAACACAACTCCTAATTCATGTGGTCCTGTTAACACATCTGGAAACTGGGAAGCCCTCAAAAAACTCATTGAATATGTACGGATTTTTTCTGTGGAAAAGTTTCTTTGTGATCCTGTTACACTCTGGAAAATGCACATTATTTCTTTCACAATTTAAGATTCCATCATTCAATAACCGTTCTCTTCTTAGAAATTGTTTCCGGTTCTCACTTGCACATTGTGGGTGCTCTGCAAGATTGAAACAACAACTTGATACCCGGAAACAATGAAAGTGTTATATAGATGGAGCAGTTTTTTAAGTGGGAAGGAAAAGTACTCACTGTGGCGATGTAGGATGAGCACCAGTTTATTATTTCCTCCCTCAAGTATTATCCCAAATGTTAGGACAACACAAATAATGATGAAAAGTCATTTAAAGCTTTATCTTAAACTGTAGGAGCCCAAGGAATCTCAGTGCCACGTTGACTAGACAGTATCACATGTCTGTTCACTTTTAGACATTGTCTTAGAAACTGCTTTTAGCCTCCATGATAGGTTATTAGACTCATGGCCCAGGTTTCCACCTTGACCTTTTGTAAGGTAAAAGGAAACCTGAGTAATTAGTTCCATAAATCAGCTTTCTTGCTCACTTTCCCCAGTGCCTGTGTTCTAATTATCTGCATCTTGAGGAGATACTTTGAACACACAAACAACCTGCCATTCTACTGGCTCTAGATATCTAGATTTGGCTCATTAACAAATGTAAGTATCTGCCACAAAGCCAGCCTTTGATAAATAGGGTTTCTAACACGTTTTCTTGTAACTAGTAAATCACCATTGGTGGAAAGGAGAACATTAGAATCAGGAAATGTTGTGATTTATTTCTCTCTCAATGCTGTGATTACTGATTGATACATTCAGCCAACATTTATTGAGCACCTACTATGATAGAAATAGCACTTCATTCTGTTAAAAATAATCTGTTTCTTTTAAACTCCCTAAACTAGGTTTTAACACATAAGTTATTGGTACTTGGAATCAAATATTTTAAAACAAAATATCTTAATCATCTCTCTTTTGCAAGGAAGGCTTTTTTTTTTCTCATTTTAAAAGGATGTTTTTCCTTTTTTCCTTTTTACAACAGGATAATCATTTGGCTTGTGTTGTCCACAGATTCATATGAATGTTTCTTATAAATGTCAAATATATAGGAGCAATGTTTTTCTCTCCCCAAATTTCTCCTGAATCTCAGGTTTTTATCAATTTGCTATTTTGTAGATCCTATTCATCAGTAATTGTTTATTCATAACCATTTCTCAAGGCCTTGATATTTGCTCAGCTCCATATTTTGTGCCCTACTGGTACAGGCTCAAATCCATCTGTGACAAACAGAAGCCTCAAAGAATATATCCAAAGAATAATGTCAACTTTAAAAGTTATATAAATTCCTGGAGCTGTACCATCTTATTACCTTTCTATAAAAATGTCAACATCTTCTCCTATACTTTTTCACTTTGCATCTTGGTCAGACACCTTTCTACCTTGAGATTAAACTAAATCTCTTGGTTCAGACAACCCTGGAGTCAAACTTCTGCTCAACATCCTATTGGCTGAATGCCTTTATGGTACTCTGGGCAGTGTTTTCATCTGTAAAATAGGGATAATACTCTACCCACAGGACTGGGTTGCTGTAAGGATTAAATGTAAAGTATACAGCATATGCCTGGCACAGAACAAGCAGCCCATTCTTGTCACCTGTGAATTTCAGACTTGTTTGTATCATTACTCAATAATCATCTTTCGTTCCACCCTGTTAAATTGTTTCAATCAGTGACTATTCAATGAACTTTTTAATAAATATATAACACAATCAGGGATGAGTCATAGCACATTGGGACTGCTTTTCAGCATAGATGATTTTAAGAAGGAACTATTCCAACACCATTTCTTCATGTGATCACTGCAGGGTACTCAAAAAAGAAGTGTTTGGTTCTTTCCTGATAACAAAGAATAAGAGAAGATGAAATTACTATAAGCGTCAGTAACTTAAGTATAAAAGATATATGAATATATGGGAATGAAAAATACATATACAGTTTTTTTTTTTTCACAGAGCCTCTTTACTTTAAGCCCAAACTTGATTCCCAGGTACAGGGCTCTGTAACTTTCCTTGGCATTGAAGTCATGAAGTCTCCTGTCCTCTAAAGCCACGGCAGTCTGCAGTGGAAGCAAGCAGCACGCGCTAAGCACAGCACAGTGGGAACCCCGGGGCGTTCGCTGCTGCTCCCACCTGTAGGCCAGGTCATTGTGACGCAAATGATTTGGACACGTGGCACACCTGCGGGAGAGCAGGGGCGGGGTCACCCTGGGCGGCAGATCCGAGCGGGGTGTACCCTAGGAGATGGGGGTCGAGGAAAGACCCCAGGGAATAGAGAGAGGGAGACTCACTCCCCCAATCCCGGACCCGCCCCAAACAAGGTGAGGCCATCGCCCTCTCCCTCCTCTGGGTCCCTGGGTCTTGCTGGGAGGGGTCGCCCGCCGGGGATTCTTCGGAGGGGAGAAGCGGGGAGGGGAGACGACGGCGGGGCCCCGGCCTCTGGCGCTCGCGGAGAGGCGAAGGCGCCCGCTCCCCCCGGCCACTGCGCTGCGCTGCGGCGCTCACGGGTTCCGCCGGCTGCTATTCCGGCTGGCGGCGACCGCCGCAGGAAGGGCCGGTTCCTGCGCTCCCCCCGCCCCCTTCCCTCGCCTTCTGCTGACGCCGACGTCGCATGAGGGAGCTGGAGGGACGCTCGGATCGCGGCCGGGAGGCTCCTAGGGGCCGAGGCTCCGAGGTACCTGCCCTACGGGGCCGTGGCGAGGGCGAGCTGGGCGGGCTGCAGGCTGCATTGGGAGACGCCCGGCAGCCGGGGCGGTCGGGGGCCTGGGGCTGCCAGCCCTCCGCGGGCGCCGGTGACAAGCAGGTCGCCTCCTCCTGCCCCCCTGTCCCTGTGCAAGAACCGCCGCAGCCCCTTCCCCTTCCCCGCCGCCGCCCTGGGGCCTGGGAAGGTCTGGAGGATGCGCGCGCGCCTCGAGAGCGCGCGTCAGCCCCGGTGGGGCGCGGAGGGAAACGTTCCGGGCTCCAGCCCCATCTCTGGACCCGGCGTTTGCAGCACCCCCTTCCCCGCCCGCCCACCCACCCCACCCACGCAGTGCCTCGCCTTCCCAACGCCTCCGGCCCCAGGACCCCGAGGTCCTTCTTGGACAGGGACTTGCGTCCGGGGCTGACTTGTTGACGAGTTCACCTGCCGCGGCTCCTGGTGTTTGCTTTTTCTCTTCCTTTAGCCCGTCTTTGGCGGAGGTGGCAGGGAGCAGATGGGTACTCTTTATAACCACTAGTACCGGGAGGCCTGAGCTTGATCTCCCGCGGGCGAAGTGCTCACCAACCTCGGACCCGACTGGAGCGAGAGTCCCTACGCAGGCCAGGTCCTGGCCAACCCTGGCGCGCCCGTTTCCTTTAGGTGCTGCTGACACCGCCTTTCCTGCCTCGCGGCTATCGCAGCTCCTGCTTCCTCTAGAAAGGAACATATCCTGTTACTGCGTATGCCTTTGCCCAGAGCGGCTCCCCATTAACGTTTCCCATTGCCTTTTTACTTGGAGTGCCCCGAAGGCCCCTCAACTTCTCTTTGGGGGTCTTAAAAATAGTGCGTGCGCCCTTTCTCTGGCGAAAGGCATTAACTGGCTGGTTGGGGGAGAGTTCTAGTTCAAAAAGGGAATCAGGTTCTCTTCTGTTTAGATAGCATAAAAAATTATCACGAGAAAGGGTGCTGGGTGGCAGCCTTAGTAACTGAGATCTGGTAACTTTATACAAATTATCAGGGCCTGGAAAATGTACCACCAGCTGCTTTGAAAATGCTATTGAATGTAGGAAGAAACGCACATAAGGCATTGGCCATTAAGGTCCTATAAATTATGACTCATTGCAAACATGTTCATGTCTAAACATTTCAGTAAAGCCTCACCAGAAAAATATCAGGTTGGTTTCTGTGGACCTTTAGTTTTTCTGAGATCTGAACTGTTCCTTGGGGTGGGGGAATGAAATAGGGAACGCTTATTAGTTTGAAATCTGTGCTCCAGACTCAATTTCTTACCTGCTGTTTAAAACACACATTTTTTACTTTTGAGTGAATTTTCAAACCATTCTTTTTGTTTTTGTTGTTTTAGGTTGCAGTCTTTATTTTGAAACATCGTGTGTAGAGAATACCGTAGGGGCAAAATCAGTTTATAATCCTTAATATTTCGATTATCATTGTTTGGTTTCAGACTGCCATGTATATATTTAATTTAAGGAGATGTAGCTTTCTAATTGGATCTTTTTTGCATTACATAGGTAAAGAGTTGTACTGTCATTAAAGATGAATCTTTAGAAAATGACAGTTAAGCTACTGAGTACTCATTGTAATAGTAGAGAGACCCAAGGCTAAAAAAACTGACCTTGGACACTCCATCCATAGGGCGTGACATGCTAAAGACACTGGATGGTAAATGCCTAGAGAGCAAGTTTATTTTATAGCTGTCTTTGCTTCATTTGGTCCACCTGAGACCCTATCTGACTGCTTTCTCTGAGCATCTTTATTACCATGCATTTCTCTCCACATCAGCCTTATGAAAAAATATGGACAATTTTGTTACTCAAAAGAAAACCTTCAAAACTGCTGCATTTTCAGTGTATTTGACTAAACAGTACATTTTTTTTTCAGGTGCAGGCAGTTTTATCAGAGGAAGAGAAGTGTGGCAACTGTGAAATGACAAGGCAGGGTAAACCTGTATTGGTGTGAACTTTTAAGTTATAGAAACCTCATACAGGAGAAGGCGGTGAAGTTAATAGGCCACAAGGATCAGGAAGGATTTTTCCTCTATTGGTTGAGCCCCACATCTAGAAGCCTGAGGGTAGGTGGCAACGTTTAGGATCAGTGTGCCGGCTACTAATGTCCTTTTTATTCTATCTGCACTATCAGATTTATGGGAACCATGGACAAGGATGCTATCTGTATGTTTTTGTCCATGAGTCAACATAGATCACTAATTAATTAACCTCATGCCCATCCTCACCCCCATCCAGAATCTGCCTCAGCAAAGCCCTTAACTCCAATACTGATACCTACAAGAGGAACATTTTTTTCCTCAAGCTGTCACGTTTTATACCACCATCATATTTAATGCCATGGAGGCTGGGCAGAGGACAGGTTTTGGATCCCAATAGAGCAGAATTGGAACCCCAGCTGCAACACTTAATTAGCCATGTCACCTTGAGCAAGTTACTTAAGCTTTTGCGCAGGCTCAGCGGCCATGGCTCACAGGCCCAGCCGCCCTGCGGCATGTGGGATCTTCCCGGACCGGGGCACGAACCCGTGTCCCCTGCATCAGCAGGCGGACTCTCAACCACTGCGCCACCAGGGAAGCCCTATATATTCTTTTAAAACAAAGCCTTTCTTCTCTGTGACTGTAGGCCAGTTACTTAGGATAAGTAACTGATTTTGAGCTTCATCCATAAAATGAGGATGATGTCCACTGGACAGTGTTGTCAGAATAAGCATACTGTGCATGAAGCATTCATGTCAGTCTGAGAAGTAGTAATTCCTCAACTAATGGTAATTACTTGTCTCAGTGTAAACCTAGGGAGAGAATGAGTTCATGGAAAGCTGAGAAAATGGCATTGCTCATGATAGGAAGTCTCTCCTCCTAAGTCAGATGATGTCGTTCATCAGGACTTTGGCCAAATCAGAGGAGTGGGGTCACTACTGAGTTTTCAGCAAGCATTTGTTATGTGTGTGTTATATGCCATGCATTGTTCCAGAACTGGGAATCCCAAGACAAGACCCAGACTCTACACTGCTCTGGAGGAGCCTGCAGCCTAGTGAGGGAGATCAAGGGGTCAGGTGACAATTACATTTCAGGAAAAGTGGGGAGGGAATGAAGCCCAGGGCAGAGGTACCCAACCGACAGGAGAGAGAGCAGAGAAAACCTGAGAAGATTTGTGGAGGAGGTGACCCTTGAGTTAAGCCTTAAAGGGCCAGTAGGAATTTGGCAGGTCAGAAAAGGTTGGGAGTGGAGAGAGAGAGTTCACCACACAGTACCCAGGTATACAGAGGGAAAGAATACTGGCAAATAGTCCTCATGCCTGGAGCCCAGTGTGCATGTGTATCCCTCATTAGCTGAGTGACCTTGGGCAAGTTTGATCACCTGTGAATTGAGAGGCTTAAATGTATTAATCAACGTAAGCACAGGACTGATTTCAATTATGTGCTCTATAGTCGTGGAGAGGGGGTAGAGGTATTAGTAGAAAATAAGGGACTGACATTAAAAAGTCATTAGAATTAGAGGAAATTAAAGAGGTCAATTTTAGAATACGTTTAACAGAAATTACATAGAATTAAAAGAGGGTGACTGAAGAAGACAACTGAATGCATGACTGTGGGTGGGAAACACGAGGTATATAAATTCAGTGATGGACCAATGAATATATAGATGATGGTATATTGCTAGCCCTGAGAGTCTAGACTTGAGAGTGGGAAGTTCCTCTCATTCTGTGGTGTATTTGTACAACGAGTGACTGTAAAGTTTTGCAGCTATTTTCCCAGAGCACGCATTAAAATCCGTCATCATGATCACTCACACCCACCCACTTCTCTGTTCCCAGGGTAGGGCATGGAAACCTAATGATACGTGGGGGAAATCCAGCCTTCTCTGCATGTTTCTGGGGTAGCGCATCCTAAGCCAGGGACCAAGGAGCTAATTGTGATAAATGGTGCCCCCCTCTTCTTATGGGTAGGAACCCTGATAGCCGCCAGGAGTCTTCAGCAAGGTTTTGTTGTGCACAAGCACCATGATGGTAATGGATTTGGGGCTAACACAGCCTGAGCCTGTGATTAGGAGAGATTGTTTTTATAGAAACCAAGCCCAGTATCCAGTCCCTTTGGTCCAGGAGTAGAGTGGAGTGCTTAGAAACAGGAGTTCAGAGGTCAAAAGCAGCCTTGAATTTACTAGCTGTTGACTTTGGGCAAATTATTTCACCTTTCTAAGCTTTTTTTCTCACTTGCAAAATGGGGTTGTATCCCCTTCTGGTGTGGGCATTAACTCCAAGTGCTTCACACATGTAAAGTGCCCCATAAATGGTAGCACAAAATTATTGCCCTTTGTCCAGCACATATTTACTAAAGGCCTATTGTGTTTCAGGTTCTGTGCTTGGTGTAAGGAGGCAAAGATGAACCAGTTAGGGTCCCTGCCTTCAAGGGACTTCCAGGCTAGTGTGGGGCATGCAGATGTAATCAGCTCATCACAGGAGAATAATGGGAGTGCAAGGCACCACTAGCATCAGTGTGGAGCAGGAGGGCAGGTGTTGGGTTGGGGAAGACTTCACGGAGGAGGTGACATTTGAGAGTCTTGAAATAAGATGTTAAGTTTGGCCAATTGGACAAAGGAGGGGAGGTCACTTCAAATGGAGGGAAACTTTGCAAAGCCTTGAAATGAGGTAGTGTATTCAGGAAAGTTCTAGCATTCTGAAATGACCGGAAGGAATAGTTCTGTGCGAGGTGAACATTTTGGGGAAGGGGCCAGAATGTGAAGGGGCTTGGTTTTTTTGCTACAAAGTTTGGACTTTCTCTAGGGACAAGAGAAGGCAATTAAAGCGTTTTAAGTAGGAGGATGGTGTGATTAGATTTGCATATTATAGAAATAGTTCAGACCATGGTGTAAAAGATTGGAGTGGGCAGATACAGGGATGGTTTTGCCTCTGAAGGCCTAGACTAAGCCCTGGCTGTGAATCTAGAAAGGAGAAGATGTATTTAGTAGCCTT